TTTTGTTTAATGCTAGAGTGGGTAGGAATGGGTATATAATAATGTTATTAAATTTTCAGTAATCCTAGACTCTTGTATTCCCAATCCAAAGAGAACTTTTTCACTGACCCCCGTTCTCCATTGCCAGCACACCACTTTATTTGGCTTTGCCACATTACAATATTATAAACAATAATCCGTTCCAAAGGACCAAACACAAATGGAACAATTCCTGGGATGCCAGGAGGGCGACGAGGCACTTTGACACACTCCTCCGACTCACACAGATGTCCCGGGATGTCGAGCGCCACTTAATGACATAAACACTGGCAATGGCCGTTGGCCCGTGAGTTGTGGCATCTGGGGTTGTGGCATCTTGGGCATCTTGAGGACCTCGGGACCAGCCCATTTTAGCCGGAGCTCCGGCGGAAGTTGTCCTAATGAGAAAAGCGTTGAGCCGCCAATCCGCCAATGTCCTTCTTGCTCACGAAGAACCACAAAAGGCACAAGTGAGGAGGGAGCTGGAATCCCTGGCACTAATATTATTAATTTGCAACTTTTGTTGTGGCACTGCGAGAGTTAAGTCAAAGGCATTTAGTGGGCAATAAAATACGCAGAAAAGGACGAGGAATTTCCATTTCCATTTCCAGTCGAGTGCTCGGGGAAAATGCGAAACTGATTTAAATGCTTTCTTAAGCGTATTTCCGGCTTCGGTTGTAAATATTTGCTTAACTGATTGCACAGAGGAGAGTCGAGAAACACTTTTTCGAATTAAGTCTTTGTTGCTGTTCAGATTGCTTTTTGTGGTTGCTTTATTCTTGCATTCTGATCCTTTCCGATGCTGTGTCTGCTCATGGTTTGTGCAATTGACATGTTTTTATTAAACTTTTCGTTGATTGGGCAGCAAATGGTGTGCAACATGAAATACAAGATTTGTGGTCATCCCAGACGAATTCGTTAAGCAAAACTTGCAACAAAGTGCGAACAATTTGCGGTTAATAAAAACCATTAAAAGCAATCTCGAACAGAATGTTGATAATTGGAATTCAAATAGAAAGTGTCGGGCAATGATTTTTGTCAATACAACGAGTGCTTTTTCTGGTAGATTGACAACGTTCTTTAATTAAATTTTCAATCTCAGCAGACAAAAGTGTTCGTCAGCATTCAAATCGAGTACAAATCGCATCATTACGCCGGCTATGAATTTGATTAGCTTATGGCTAAATCCAAACAGACACGATAATCGGAACGCCAGCAAGAACAACAACGGCATGCGAAAATGCCTAAAGACATTCATTCTATTTATCATTTATCCAGCCATTTATCGAAAGACATTCGAGCTGCTGCCCGAGGTTCGGGGCGGGACTGATGAGATATTGCCAGAATAAATGGAGGCATTTACATTTAAAACATTTATGCGCAAATATTTGCCGGCTTTAAGGGCATTAGCCGTATCGGGCGGGGCATATTGTCTTACATTCGGTATGGGTAACGGTCTGTGCACAGAATCCCACTGAACTCGAAACCATTCGAAAGTTTCCAGCAAATAAAACATCCATACACGAACGCATGTATGACTAAACAATCTGAAACTCGACTGTATTAGTTGAATTCAAACTTTTTCGAGCGTAACTTGAAAAGTTTCAATTTGTGCATGACAATCTCCGTCTGTCTGATGGTCTGTCAGTAGTCCTCTGTCTCTATCCAACTGTCTATCTGTCGGCGCTTGTACGTGTGGGTTGGACCGTATGTCTTTTTAGTTTACTGCTGCACTGGGAGAAAAGCCCTAGCAAAAATGAATGAAAGCCATTTAAGACGTTTGAGAGGACTTTCAAATTAACTGTACGATTTTCTTGACTTTGATTCTTTAAATAATCTCACTTACTTAATATATATTTTTTTAATTCCGTGTCATATTTAAGTAACCAAAAATAATAATAAGAAGATCAATAATCTCTTTATCTACATAATAGTATATTATGTTAGGATGTATATGCTAATAATTTATAGAATTGTAAGAAAATGTTTTAATTTAGTTGCTTTTCAAGGAAAATCACATGTATAGTTTTCTTTGTTGAAAAATGCTCAGATTTAATTATGTGTTATTAAATATTTAAGAGAATGTACTCTAAAATACCGAACCAATTCTTTAAATTCTTTGAAGCCGATAGACTTCTGTAACATTTTTCTAACCAATCGCTTGAGATTTCTTTGAATACCCAACAACAAATTCATGAACATTTTTGTTCTTCATTTAAAAAAAATGTTTTTCCATCTGCAATAAGTTTAGAAGCTGAGTAAAAAAGTTTCTGCAACTCACAGAATGAACCGAGTTTTCAAGCAATCGGCTGAGAACTTGGGGCTTTTGCTAAATTTGATTTGAACGGCAACCTGGCCGAATTTCAATTAAATGCATGTGCACCCGTAGGTGCAAATCGCAAGTCGAGAAAATCGATGGCCAGACTCAGGTGGCCTGCTAGTCGCCTTCGCAGAGGCAGAGGCAGCCAGCAAGTCAGCCAGCCCATTCACGAATGCGAAAAAGGCCAAAGGCTGGCGGCCAAAGGTGAGTCCCAGGGGCAGGGGAATGGGAATGGGCCAGGCCGCCGGCATAGCGAATCAAGTGGCAAATGCCAAATGGCATCCTGACCTGACCCAGCGGCATGAGCATGAGCAAAAGTGGGAGCAGTAACTGGAACAGCAGCCAAGTCAGTGGATGAACTCGACTGGCGGCAAATGGCGTGCACTGTGATACGGGAATGGGAAAACTAACGAGAGGAAATTGTGTTTCAGAAATGCAATGAAAAATTATTGCGAAGCAGTGAAACGGGCACGGATATTTGTCAGTTGCGAAAAAACTTGATATGAAGCGCATCAAGTCGGGGAGAACGATGTTGTGTACGTGAACAAAGTGTTCCTACGTTTCAAATTAGAGCAATAAATGGGTTTCAAATAACATAAATGGAGCGAAAAGAATTGGAATTCTATGACACATCTAAAATCAGGAAATCTTTATAAACTATTTATATCTAATTGAGAATTCTACCGTATTTTAATAGATTTAAGTCCAAACTGAATCAAATAGAGAAACGTTTGTCACATATTGAATTAGAAAAGTATAGAAAAGTAATATCTTAAAATATTATAAAAAAACAAGAAAGGAAAGCTAACTTCGGGCGGAGCCGAAGTTGAAATACCCTTGCAGAATATTCTGCAAATTATATTCTCCAAAATTATTCATATGATGCATTTTTAATACTCATAAAAAATCCCACGTTCCTAACTTTAAAAACACCAAAGTTATTTCATTTCCGATCAATCAGTTATATGGCAGCTATAGGATATAGTCGGCCGATCCTTATGAAATTTAATATGTCGAATTGATTGGGCAAAAATAAAACCCATAGAAAATCCCAACTTCCTAACTTTACAAACACCAAAGTTATGGCATTTCCGATCAATCAGTTATATGGCAGCTATAAGATATAGTCGGCCGATCCTTATGAAATTTGGTAGGTCGGATTGATTGGCCAAATATAAAACCCATAGAAAATTCCAACTTCCTAACTTTACAAACACCAAAGTTATGGCATTTCCGATCAATCAGTTATATAGCATCTATAGGATATAGTCGGCCGATCCTTATGAAATTTGGTACGTCGGATTGATTGGCCAAATATAGAACCCACAGAAAGTCCCAACTTCCTAACTTAACAAACAGCAGAGTTATGGCATTTCCGATCAATCAGTTATATGGCAGCTATAGGATATAGTCGGCCGATCCCGGCCGTTCCGACTTATATACTGCGTGCAAAGGAAAGAAGGGTGTGTGCAAAGTTTCAACTCGATAGCTTTAAAACTGAGAGACTAGTTTGCGTAGAAACAGACAGACGGACAGACGGACATGGCTATATCAACTCAGGAGGTGATCCTGATCAAGAATATATATACTTTATAGGGTCGGAGACGTCTCCTTCACTGCGTTGCACACTTTTGACCAAAATTATAATACCCTCTGCAAGGGTATAAAAATGTGATGCAACAAATAAATTAAAATAAAATGTTGTTCTCGCTAACAAATGCTTTCATTTTTAAAGAGATTTTCATTTGAGCGTTTCCTATTTGAACAATAAAACATTAATTTTGTACTAATTTTAGTAATAATTTAAAATGATTTTGCGCTTCCAGGTAAAATGTTGGTCTATTGTGACAATATTGTAACATAAAAAAAGCAAAAGTAAACATATTAATGTTAATTTACAATAACAGTAATAAAATGTTTGTAGATAGTCTCCGGCTTTGTTATTATTCATTCATTTCAAAGCTAATAAATTTAAAATGAAATGAAAATGTAATTAATTTTAGTTTTATTTCTAATCATCACACATCAAGATTGTCTACGAAATTTCAGTACGTCCTTGGCTCACAGACCTAATCCCAAAACGAGATTACCTTAGTTGGCTTTGTTGAAACCAAAGTCTCTTACGTTTATCTTAATCGCCAGAGCCGAGACTGCAGACTTTAAGCTAATAAAATAAATTGCTTAGAATACAGAATGGCCTAGTGAATTTTTAACCACTGTTCATTGTTCATTGTGCGATTTGTATCATTAGGAGCCCCAGACAAGCCAGGACATTGTGGGCTGCTGGCGGCGGACTGGAAGAGGAGTTGTTGGCCAGGCCGACGGCGGGAAATGTTCGTATTTAAAGTGTCGGCCAACTAAGGATCTCAACTTTATTAAAAAGGCAGCAGACGGCGGTGGCATTGGGTGGTGACCCCAGAGCCTGTCCTGCCGCTTAACTAGACAGCAGTTTCCAGTTTACGTAACCACTAAAAATGGCGCTCAATGTGCTTTCCGTTTTCCGTTTGCCGTGTTCCCTGTTTCCCTGTTCCCCGTTCCTTATGTTTGAGTGTGTGCCTACTTGTGTTTGTGTGCGCTTTTCCTGTTTCTCTCTATGTGTTTTTCACGTTTTTACCATTTCACGTGCAGCGGTATGAAGAAGAAGTTTTTATTGTTTGCTTACTTGCTCAACACGCGCCCAACGTCCGCCGTTGATGATGAGCGGTGGAATGGCGGCAGGATGAGCCCGCGAGCCGCGACGCCTTCATTGTCCTTCCTGATTTGCCTCCTGACGCTTTGGCGGCACTGCCTCACAAAAATAATGAAACTTTTCCCGTTTTTCTGTTGCTTTTATCGCAGTTTATTGTTAATGCTTTTAAACTTGTTGTTGTTGTTGTTTTGGTTGATAACAGCTCAAACTTTTAACACGCGCGGTTCGTAATTTTTTAATGCCTGCGATGTTGTGATATTCTTTTTTCGGCTACCTTTTTTTTTTGGGTGTGTGCCAACAATTTAATTTGTCATTAGTCCCGAACGCGGTTCTATTTATATTGCTGTCCGCATTCGAATATAAAAAAACATCCCAAAATCGATTTGTTAAAATGGAATTTCTTTTTGATTTCTATACCCACTCCAAGAAGAAGTTTCCCGCAATTTGCCGCACGTTTCTCATTCTTTTTCTTGCTTCTTTTTTTTTTGTATATATATAAAGTATAGCGTAAACACGTACAAGACGACCCACAACTCACGGCTTACGACTTACGGCGGTCATAAATGGAGTTTCGTATCGGTTTTTGTAGTGCCGCAAAATCGAAACACGCACACGCGAACTCCGCTGTCCAGCCGGTATTTCCTTGTATATAAATTAATTTGTTTTTTTTTTTTGTTGTACCACTCGAGACAGACGCCAAGAATATAACAACAACTGTCACTGGCACTTTCGGTTACGTGTGTGACAAGTGGCCACAGGTTTCAATTGGCTTTCGTTGTGGTTTTTGTGTTTATTGCTGGCTGGCAGGCCTTCTGGGCCCCTTTTTGAAGCCCTTTGGCGGCAATGCGTGCCGATGAGCGCCTGCTCTGGTAACTGGCCACTGACTGAGTTTGGCCAAGACGGCGTGCCAAGTCCTTTGGCGGCAAATCAACACAGGATGCGGCGAATTCGAGGAAGAGCGCTTCTGCGCAGTCCATTTTGGCGGGAAAAGGACATTTCGAACCTTCAACAGAGTTGCAAGGAAAGGTAGTGTGAAAAAACTTAAAAACTTAAGACTTATTTATTTCAAATAACAGAGGCTTAATGGTAAAGATTAATATTTTATAGCATACTTAAAAGGGCAAATCGTAGTTAGTTATTTCCCTATTAAAAAGCTACCCTCTAATAGTACCTTTTGAGCAACCCTGTGAGTAGCCACCCCCAGAACAGCTGATGCAGCCCCCTTAACACCATTAATCTCACACCCCTTTGAAAATCCCAACCACCCTCAAGTGCCGAATTTGCCGCACAAAAAATAAAAAAAAAACGCTCAAGGCGCTCAAGTCAGGACAACTATATAGTACCACCCCATTGCAGGGCGTCAATATTTGCATTTGTAATAAAAATATTTTGATGCCACCCAGCCAAAACGCGTGCGTAAATCTAAAAAAGATTTGTTTTTTCAGCGCGTGTTCATGTCGTGCAAATCAGACAGCAACAACAACAACAAGAACAACAACAAAGAGGCGGGCCAGGACAACATGCACACAACAGCAACATCAATAGCAGGACGAAAGGCGACAGCAACAACAGCTGACGATGGCAATATGCCGGCTTGAAGCTTGTCTCTGCACATGTCAAAGTTATTAAAATTTCATAAAAAATATATATACAGGGGCGAGGGAATTTGATTTAACGCTTGTTGTGTCACTGACAGTTGTGTGTTTGCTGTTTAAGTGACGCCCCGAGTGACGGACTGTCTGATAAGGAGCAGGTTCCTCGGTCTGTTGTCTCTTTTAAATATTGAAATGTTGATGAGCAATAAGGCACCCATCATTGGGTGCCCTCTACTCCGGGCCAAGAAGCGCGTGTCTATCACTTGTCGAGGCCAAATTGGCGGGCCTTATGAGCGATGATTGCCCCGATGCCATCGTGAATCACTCACTTAGCAGCCGGAAAGAACGGGAGTATGGGTGCAATCTAGGAGCCATGGCTGACTTTGATGAATGGAGTTTGATTTGACGCGCATTTATTATGCACCTCCCAGTGCGGTTCAAAGAGCCTAATTTAAAAAATAAATTCTGTCTTTTTGCAGGTCTTGAAATTATGTAATCAAAATATTTCATCTCTACGGTCAACACTTTAATTGATTGATGCATTGCAATCGACCAAAAAAATTTTAAGTAAATTTATTTAATTTGACTCGCCACCAAAGCGGAATTAATTCACCCGCCAATGTTTATTATTATTTCACAGAAAATATTTGAACTTTATGTTTGCCATTGATGAATATAAAAAAAAAATAAAATGAAAAAAATTAACTGGTTAAAATATATGGTATTAAAATGCTGGTATAGTTTTTATTTGACCGAGAAGGGTTATTTCGGAATACCAATGTTTGTATACACTCACTTGAACGTAATTTAAAGGTAGACATTAAAAATATTAACTGTTTATTAAACGAGCAACCATTTCCAAATAAACATTTTTCGAACGATAAGGTGTGAAGTTTGTTTAAATAATACTTTTCAAAATCTATATAAATTTGTTGAAAAAAAAATTAAAATACCCTTTTAAAGGGTAAACATGCTTAAAGTCATAAAAAGCTTATGTCTTTTTTTAATCTAGTAGAAGTTCATTTTTTTTCTTTAAAACAAATTAAAAGCGATTTTATTTAATTGGATGGATTAAAAAGCGAATCGATCATCATTTATAATAATTTTTTTGGTGTGCAAATTTGTATCACCATGTTCAGCATATAAACAAACTCATAGTCCCGCAGAGATGGCATCTTTTTTTCCTTATGAGTTTTTAAATGCTGAAAAAGTTACTGCTGGGCTATAAAGTAAGGTGTGGAGTTTTAACTTGCGCAGGGCAACTTTCCGATGCGGTGTGTGTCACCTCTTGCTAAATAAATTTAATACATAAAGCTCTACAGAATGGTGAAAACTTTGGCGTACAGGAGCAGGGGACCGTTTGCTCAGGTATTTAAAGCGTGCCAACTGATCTGTCCTTTTAGGGAGCGGGTGCTATGATATATTACTTTGCCAAAGTAATGGAGGTGTATGCTATCATTGCCATGGCGCCGGTTAAATTACACACGCATTTGCCAAATAAAAATCACTCATTCGACGCGTGTGCCAAGGCGCCCACGTTGCCACGGGGCTTTCCAACAAATTTGTAATTTGTCAGCCCAAGTCGAGACATGACAGTTATTAGAAGTTTACAACTGTCGCCGGCAGTAATCAGCTTTACTTTTGTCCTGATAATATGCTGTTAATGTACTTCGATGCGGACTGAGTAATTTGGGTCCCCGACTTTATTTACTTTTCAGCTTGTCCACAACTTTGCCCTTGGTAATCAGCAGCTGGGTTGAATGAAACAAGTTCGTTTTGTTATATTTATAGTTTTTAAATTTATTTTGCTTTTCTGCTTGTTTTCCAACTCGAAGTTTGTTATGTTGCTTTATAATACATCTGAATTTCGTATTCACTTAGTTAGTAGCTTAGTTTGCCATTTACTTGTCTCCCCACTCGAGGCTAAATTTGCTTGTCGGCTTGGCTTAATGTTAGGATCCTATTTTGTTTTGCATGGAAAATTGCACAGCAAAACAGAAAACAATGCAACGAAAAAGTTCAGTTGTCAGTAATAATAATAATAAATAACTCACACGCACATTTACACAGACTTGTCAATATACAAATACAAATTACACATACAATATTAGTTTGGGGGCTGCTGTTTATAAAAATATAACAAGTTCTTTGGAGATTTGGTTTGCGGTCTTCTCTGACGATTTATTTAATCTTTTTAAGGAAAGTCATTTAATAAATACTTACTATAAATATAACATTTATTTAGACATCTATTTTTACACTCTTTATATGATACATACTGAGCTTTGGCTCTTAATCCTTGTTTTCCACTCGACACAATGGTACTATTATATATTTTTGTTTCAGACTAGCTTGGGAAAGCAGCATAAAAGTTGCCGCATGTTTTTATAATTTTATTTACTTGACAAATACTCTTGACTTTCTGCTTGGCTTGCGGATTAATGGAAACTCATAAATCGGTAACGGCTGCTAACATTTTATGGAGTCTTTAGTTATTTATACAAAGTACACAAAACTCTTTGTCTGCTTGTTTGCTTTATTCGCCTTATTAGCATTAGCATTGCTTTTCCTAGTAGAAATTCAGTGTAATTCCCGATTTTCCTTGGGTTTTAACGGGCTTTCTTTGTTGCGGAATATTGGGCCGCAATTGCTGGAATCAAGTTGCTGACTTCTGAAGCAGTACTCAAGCCTTGCCCTCACAGGCTACACAGTCAACTTAATTCCAGGAACTGCAACGCAATTGCCTTTCCTCCGACGCACTGCACACAATTCCAGGGAATTCGACACTAAACACTTGAAACGGAAACGGTTTTTGGGAATCGGTTCGTTTTCCGCACTACACACACACACGTAATTTGGTTAGTCTGATATCGATTCACTATATGTTGGTTAATTTATTTGGGCTTTAGCTTTGGTTTCTCCGAACACCTGGATCCTATATTGATGTGACTATATATTCTCGCTATGTTTACTTGATATACGTTTTAAGGTTTACTTTAGGTTTTGAGCATTTTCAATTCATGCGATTGTCGTTCAAATAACAATTGGATTTAGCTTTGCTTTAGCTTCCGTAGCTTTATTGGGCTTCCTAATTTCTTTGATTTTAATTGCGTTGGGGTGTGGTTGATTTTTCGCGCGGGGAAAATCTCATTTTTTTTTGCAGGACTTCTCTCATAGTTGTCTATAATTTGCGGTCTCTTAATTGGCACAGTTTAGCTTTAGCTCTTTGTTTTTTCGAATCCCTATGTACACGCATAGCTCAGTGAGTTGCAGTGATTGCCATGTTAATTAATTTATTTTTGGTTTTTCTTTTGAGTGAGCAAAATGCTTTGGGGCTTACAGTTTTCCGATTGGCGTACATATAGAAATGAGTTTACAACCTGTGCTTAATTTAGTCGTACAAAAATACTCAGTATTTACAACAAGATTCAAACGACACGAAAACATAAATAAATAATTTATCCTATGATAGCCCCGATCTGTGCTTCAAGGGACCCGGCAACGAAAATTGAAAAAATTAAGAAGATTTAAACAAAAAGCAATCGACGGGTGCACAGTGGCGGGCAAATGAAATGGCACGCTCCAAAGCATGATTGATTAATGTCAACATTACGAGTAAATCAGCCGACGCATGAGCCGGCATATTAATTTTACAAATTAATGGAACATTTTAATTGCATTAAATTGATTCCTCCCCGGCCGGCAATCTGCCATTCTGCCATTCTGCCAGTCTGTCATCCTGCCATCGATTGATTCGTCGCCCCAGCGAGCACTCTACATTTACACATGGCTCGAGGCCGTCGAGGCGGCGGCATTGTTGTTCTTGTTCCATTTGTTGATGTACTCCATGGGTATTTCGATCTGGATCTCCTGCACATCGTCGCCCGCCAGGCGGTCGGCGTGGGACCTGGCCTTGTTGTCCCTGTCGGCGGCAGCTGCCAGTTGTCCGCCCAGGCGGGATCCGCCCGCCGCCAGCCGCTGCTGCTGCTGGGCGATAGGGGTCAGCAGCGCCTCGTCCCTGTATTATAAGTTGTCCACCATCTGCGACTGGCGGCGGTGCGAGGGCGTCGTCGAGTTGAGGTAGCTCTCCGAGTAGACGCTCTTCGCCCGCTGGTCGTAGCGCAGGCTGGAGCGCCGGATGTCGATGTCCAGCGGCAGATGACGGTCCTTCCACCAGTTGCAGAACAGGCAGAGCAGCGTGTTGCGGAACGCCTCCCGGAAGTCCCGGTTGAAGTACGCGTAGATCAGCGGGTTGAGCGTCGAGTTGAAGTAGCCAATCCAGAACAGGATCGATACGACTATATCCGGCACTTGGCACGGCTCGCAGGTCATGGAGAGCGTGTACCTGGAAAAAAAGACCCAAATCATTAGCTTTAACTTCATCAAATATCAAATCTGTCTAATTAAAAATTCAATTTTCGAACCCTTTCGTTTGTTTAAAATAACATTCCTAAACTGTAAAGAAACAAGAAAGGAAAGCTAACTTCGGGCGGAGCCGAAGTTGATATACCCTTGCAGAATATTATGTACATTATATTCTCCAAAATTATTCATATGATGCATTCTTAATACTCATAAAAAATCCCAACTTCCTAACTTTACAAACACCAAAGTTATGGCATTTTCGATTCATCAGTTATATGGCGGCTATAGGATATAGTCGGCCGATCCTTATGACATTTGGTAGGTCGGATTGATTGGCCAAATATAAAACCCATAGAAAATCCCAGCTTCCTAACTCTACAAACACCAAAGTTATGGCATTTCCGATCAATCAGTTATATGGCAGCTATAGGATATAGTCGTCCGATCCTTATGAAATTTGGTAGGTCGGATTAATTGGTCAAATATATAACCCATAGAAAATCCCAACTTCCTAACTTAACAAACAGCAGAGTTATGGCATTTCCGATCAATCAGTTATATGGCAGCTATAGGATATAGTCGGCCGATCCCGGCCGTTCCGACTTATATACTGCGTGCAAAGGAAAGAAGGGTGTGTGCAAAGTTTCAATTCGATATCTTTAAAACTGAGAGACTAGTTCGCGTAGAAACAGACAGACGGACAGACAGACGGACAGACGGACAGACGGACAGACGGACAGACGGACAGACGGACAGACGGACAGACGGACAGACGGACATGGCTATATCAACTCAGGAGGTGATCCTGATCAAGAATATATATACTTTATAGGGTCGGAGATGTCTCCTTCACTGCGTTGCACACTTTTGACCAAAATTATAATACCCTCTGCAAGGGTATAAAAATAACAGCGATATTCTGCGGCAAACTCATCTGATGATGATAATTAAATTTTTATATAGGTTTCTTAATAAATTTTTTGTATTTTTGTATACATTGTTTTATGATCCTATTATAAAATATTTATATACCATACTCGTTTAATTCTTTTAACAATGGCATGACAAATAATCGGGGTTTTTCTAAAGTAGCAAAATATAAATATGAAAATATCTCTGTGTTAATTCATATCGAAACGATTTAAGATTTCGTGTTGTTTTCAAACAAAGTATTAGTCATTTGACCACCGTTTAAAATCTCTTGCCATCAGATTTCGTCTGTGTATGGCATCAATTTCGGATGTATACACATCATTTCCAGATGCATGAGTGGGTCTGGGCTTTGCATAAATGAGATTATATTTGGGGCGGTGCGAAAAACAACAACCGCCGAAACGACGGCGCACGGGCCGTATGAGTAATATTTAATTATGCATGCGTGACATTAGATAAATTATGCCTCAAATCCCATGCCAGCGGGATGCGTAGCCGTTCGACGGTACTCACCACAGAAAGAATGGCAGCCAGCAGAGGATGAAGGTGCCCATGATGATGCCCAGCGTGCGTGCGGCCTTGTGCTCCCGCTTCATTTTGATTAAGTGCTTGTCCTTAGTGGGGGTGTGCTCCTGCTCGACCTCGTGCAGCGTCAATGTTTTCGACGAGCCGGAGCCGCTCAGCGCCTCGCCTGCCGGAGGAGATAGAGTGGAGATTTGATAAATGTCCCGCCATGAGATAGGCCACAGAACTTTGTGCACTGCCACTGCATCACTTGCTGGGCTACGTATCAATCACCTAAGTCTCACAATCCTAACAGTAGGATCAAAAGTACATGGTCACAAAAAATATAAAAATTATTTTGTACAATTCCTATAGTTTCAAATTATTTGGAGTACCAAATTCCGTAATATCTTATTTTTTTTTAAATATATTTTTTTATATATGCGAAATTACGGTTTTTGGTACGCCAAATATTTTGAAACTTTAGGTATTGTACCAAATACTATATATATTTTAATAAACCTTAACATACTTTGGAAACCTTTTTCTAAATAGAGCTTTTCCATTCCTTTATGTCTGAATTATATTAAGAAGGAAATGTTGCTCTCATTAGGATCAAAATTGCTTGTTAATCATAAAACAAAAACATTTTTATTGCATTTTATTTATAGGCATACCAAAAAACGTTTAATAAAATTGTATTATTTTAAAAATTTAATATTTTAATAACCTTAATAAAAAAAAACATACTTTCAAAACCGTTTTTTTAGTCCTTAAACGCGTGATTAATTGGTCACTTTTATACAAAACAAAGGATGAGAAGTCACTTAAAAAAAAAAAACAAGGAAGGAGAAGTTAAGTTCAACAGCAATTAGACTTCGTGGTAAAGGTCTTAAACTGTTTTCATACTTAATAAATTGGATGTGATTTAATTGGTTTTTAGCAAAAACTTCAAAAACGTATGTATATGTAGATATAAAGGACTTCCATTTGTGGACTTAGCTGATCAATAACACTAACTTACAAATTCTTAAACTTTGTCGAGATCAAAGCTGAAACCCATTTTTATACCCTTGCAGAGGGTATTATAATTTTGGTCAAAAGTGTGCAACGCAGTGAAGGAGACATCTCCGACCCTATAAAGTATATATATTCTTGATCAGGATCACCTCCTGAGTTGATATAGCCATGTCCGTCTGTCCGTCTGTCCGTCTGTCCGTCTGTCTGTCCGTCTGTCTGTTTCTACGCGAACTAGTCTCTCAGTTTTAAAGATATCGAATTGAAACTTTGCACACACCCTTCTTTCCTTTGCACGCAGTATATAAGTCGGAACGGCCGGGATCGGCCGACTATATCCTATAGCTGCCATATAACTGATTGATCGGAAATGCCATAACTCTGCTGTTTGTTAAGTTAGGAAGTTGAAATTTTATATGGGTTTTATATTTGGCCAATCAATCCGACCTACCAAATTTCATAAAGATCGGCCGACTATATCCTATAGCTGCCATATAACTGATTGATCGGAAATGCCATAACTTTGGTGTTTGTGAAGTTAGGAAGTTGGGATTTTCTATGGGTGTTATATTTGGCCTATCAATCCGAACTACCAAATTTCATAAGGATCGGCCGACTATATCCTATAGCCACCATATAACTGATTGATCGGAAATGCCACAACTTTGGTTTTTGTTAAGTTAGGAAGTTGGGATTTTCTATGGGTTCTATTTTTAACCAATCAATCCAACCTATCAAATTTCATAAGGATCGGCCGACTATATCCTATAGCTGCCATATAACTGAACGATTGGAAATGCCATAACTTTGGTGTTTTTAAAGTTAGGAAGTTGGGATTTTTTATGAGTATTAAGATTGCATCATATGAATAATTTTGGAGAATATAATTTACAGAATATTCTGCAAGGGTATATCAACTTCGGCTCCGCCCGAAGTTAGCTTTTCTTTCTTGTTTGTTGTTACATAACAACGCAACTGTCAAAAAACTGGCGAATATTTAATTAAATTTAATTTGCCTATTTTACAGCAGGTTTTATTTAAGATCTTAAAGGGCACTTGTGTTTGATCCCAGTTATAATTTTCACCTTGGCTAACTAAGTTCTCAGGCACATTGCACTCCATCCCGAAATGGGGTCAACCACTCTGTACTGAGACTCACCTGAGGGCTGCATGGAGGGGCGGTGCATGAGCATCGCGTTGCCGTGGCGCATCATCAGCTGCTTCTCCTGGCGATTGGCCTCGCGGAAGATGGCCAGGTAGGTGAATATCATGATGGTGCATGGGATCCAGAACGAAATGGAGCTCGAGATGACGGCGTAGTACTTGTTCACCACGAAGGCGCACCGGTCCGGATGCTCGATGACGTCCACCTTGTGCTCGTCGGTGGTGTACCAGCCGATGAAGATGGGCAAGAACGAGAGCAGCGCCGGCGATATCCAGGTGTTCAGCAGCATAATGCCGACCACGCGTTTCGTCATGCTAATCGGATACTTGAGCGGCTTAACAATCGCATAGTATCTGCAAAAACGCGAAATGCCACGTTATTGGTGCTCCACATGTTGGCTCTAAAATACCTCTTACCTATCCACAGATATGCAGCATAAATGCAAAATACTCGCTGTTGAGAAGTAGACATCGAGGCTGTTCCACAAATCGCACAGGAAGGGGCTGAAGAGCCAGCTGCAAGAGTCCAATCAATGGAGGCATCAATATCGCGATGATTACCCAATAACGATGCACTAAACTTTGGGTTTTAACTTTTGAAGTCATTGTATCTGATTATCGTATGCATGAGTTCGCAGTTTATATTTCTGATGAGTCATTTCTGTGTTTTTGCCTGACTTTTAAAATGGCTCGCTAAATACATTCATGAAGTCATCGCAATAAAACGGACTTCCAGTTTTTTGGGTATGAAAAAATTAAGTTTTATTATCATATTTTGAATGGACATTTACTGCCAAGTACAATTTCTTAAAGCTCCAGGAAACTACCGTTTTTTATAGTTTGGTAAAAAGTGGCCAATAAAGTTAGTTATTAAATAAATAGTAAAATAATTGCATGCCATAAAAAACCTCTAAGGCAATACCTAAGGTTATAAACAAACATTTTTGTGCTTACTTTTAACGATGTAAGCCAAATGCTTATGTTTATGACAATTTTAAACTATAATAAAAAATCAATAGAATTTAAGTTAGCTTTAATGCATATTTCAATTTGAAACTAAAAACACAGTCAGTGTGGATCATAAAAAGGCAAAACATAAATGGAATAAAGTAGGTCTGCATTTTAACGGCATTTTACTGCCAATTCCAAAATGTAGGCCAGTAAAAAAGTCAAGCGGCCCAGACAATCCACTCTCCCCTAACCCACTTCATTATCAGCCCGCCTGATTTATGTGTTTATCGATTTCATCTTAGTTTCGGTTGCCAGGTGACATTGCCCCTGAACTGCCTCTGTAGAGGGCCAAATTAAAAGCTTAGATGCACTGTGAGACCAGAAAATAGGCCATAAGGCTCGGGGCGAAGGAGGATGACGAGGGGGAGGGCCAGGACGAGGAAAGGGGCGGGAACTGGGCTGCATGAAAAACTCATTAAAACTTGCGTCGCTGTTGCTGTCGCCGTCGCCCTTGGTTGCCACTCCGTTTTGGCCGTTTGGCGGAGGCGTTGTCGGAGGCGGCACCCCAGCCTTTTGGCCAGGAGGCAGTGGAATTTATTATCGGGCCCCCCGTTTGGCATCAGTTTCAAAAACTTTTCGACTATCCAACGAGGCTGGTCGTTGGCGTTTTTGGGGTTACCACACCATTCCTTCGAGGCGCCACGGCTTTGAAGCCTAGGCCATGAAATGGCGACAACACTTGCTGCTGGCTGCAATTATGCAACTGGCAACTGTGAAGGTGAAATGGCTAATGAATGCCAAGTGGAGGTGGCTGCTGCCAGAAAACCAGGACGACGCGATGGCAGCCGATGCCAATTTATATGCAACTCTCGCGGCTGAAGTTTTTTGGCCTGGCAGTAAGTGCACATTATGTGACTTGAATTGCCTACCCCAGGATCCCACTTCATCGTCACCATTATCGCCATCAGTGGCAGTGGCATTGCAAACATTTGCATTGGTCCCTGTCCCTCGACGCCCAAGTCGAGCTTAAAGCGCGGCCTTTAAGCCAGCCTCCGCCGTGCATAATTAACTGGGCTCAGTCGACTGCTCCTGGCACTCGCCCGCGTCCACATATCGCGTTACCAACATACTGAAGACGGAGTCGGACAGTCGCGACGGACGTTCGGCGTGAAGGATGTGACCATGTCACACTCTGACGGTTTTTGTCCTTTGGAATAGCTTTTCAAACTTGTCGTTTCCCTCTCAGTCGGTACTTCGTACTTGGATGTGTTTCAATAGGGTATTTCAGGCCTTACAAATATTAAATTGCTCTGGTTTTTAATTTTACTTCTTCTAAAAAGTGTGTAATCCATAATATAGTTTTTCGAAAGATAGTCGAACTTCTATAGGTCGATCCACCATCTGCTACTAAAGCTTAACCTATGGCGAATACATTTTATCTTCTATTTGTAACTTGCCTTTTAATTTTATTTATCGTGTTTTATTACAATTTTAAAAAAATAATAATCCGATAAGAAACTTTTTAACATACATATTTTTTGATTTAACTATTTTTCTTTTAATTTGTAATTATTTAAAGTTATTTTAACATGAGCTAGGACCTTAACTGAAATCAAGTTAATATTTCAGAATTCTGCCTTAAGAGTTCCAATTTCTATTTTTGTACTCTAGTTTTAAAGATTAAATCAGCTGTAACTTCATGTTTTTAAATTTCTCTAGACTCTGTGAGTCTGCAGATTTCGCAAAGTGAAATAGGTATCCTGAAACCGTATTCTTAAACGAATGCCTTTCTGCTTGTTCTATTTTTCACATTTTAATTCTTGAACACAAATGCACGCACATGAGCACAGAGAGATGACTTTCTGCATTTGCATTTCCCTCGCACAACCACGTAAATACATACGAAAAAGTTGGTGTATACCTATATATGCACACAGACAGAGACATTCACAGGAGCATAAATAAACGTTGCTTTCATTTTTCAGGGATTTTTGTTTTTGGTTGTTTGTTCTGCAACTGCCACGCCCACACCCGCCCAACCACCCACCCACCTTGGATGACTGGGCTGGCATTTTGTTTGGTCTTGCCTTTGGTTGCAGCTGTAATTTTTGCAACAGTTCTGCCCGCTTTTGTTGCTCTGCTTAGGCTTTGTGTGTGGCTGTGTGTGTGTGGGGTATTTCTTTTTTTTTTGCTGTTTGTTGTTGTACTTACCGCCCAGTTACTTGCACACTAAAGTTAAATGTCATGGCCATAATAGCGACCATTATATCAGCCATGGCTAAGGAAACTACAAAGTAATTCGTTATAACTCTGCAAAGAGAAGGAGGGAGAAAACGAGATGTTAGTAATCAGGGGACAATATCCAACAATACATAGAAAGGGGGTCCTTCGTACCCCCCGTGGGGGCTAATCAGGATATATCGTATGAGTGAATGCGTGAGTGCGGTGGATGGGACGGGAATTCTTTTGTACGAGATGACAGCTCGGACCCCTCGAGCGGATTGGCTGGGTGCATTTGGCAACAGCGGGGGTATAATTGAAAAGCCAGCCAAGAATCGAGAATGATGTCGAACACGATTTCCCCCACAGGGCCCAGCCGATTCCCAATGAAAATCAGATATATACGGGTAAAAATCGAGAAACAGAGGGGGGCAACCGCAATCCACTGGGCAAACATTTGCCAGCTTATACCTATTTTGTTATTTAAATTGAATTCAAAGCCGAGTGCTGGCAAATGCTTTTGCCAATTAGAGTTTTGGACTAGTTGCTGGCCGAAGGACTCTTTAATCGGATAAGTGCAGCTACCTCATTGAACTCCAGGCTGCCGCCTTTCATTTTGCCATTCTCACTAAGTCAAAGTTTGAAATCAAAACTGAGCGTTTACTGCACTCGAAAACTTTTGGTCAATTATGTTAATATGCGGGCACGCAAAATTGAATTATATATTTTCGTTTTGGGTTATGGCAAACATCCTTAGGAATGGCATTTAAAAATGGGTATATAGTTAAAATATTAGTTATTTGTTTATTAAGCACGGCATTCTTTTATTAAGCGAACGGGAACGAAGCTTTTGAGGGGTGTATTCCCAACGAAGCCAAACAAACGCAAAATAATGATTTTATTATACCCTAGACCTTAATTAAATGCAATATCCTACTAAATTAAATTGTTTTTCGAAAGCAAGAACAAAGCAAATTTTTAATCAAGAACTTTGTCTGCTAAATAAATGTTTAAATAAGTTATTAATATCCTTAAGAGCCCTGTATTGCTTTTTCTGTGTGCTATATGTACAAGCGTTTTGTTCTTTACGATTGATAGACTGTAAATTCTTATTCATTTCATCCATTATTACTATTAAGTTACATTATTCTCGTCTTCCGAGGCTATTGTACTTAGTTTCAAGTTGGCAGACTGGGCATGGTAATCTGTTTTGCTCCAGGCTACTACTTAAATAACTTTCAGCATCTTAGACGTTAATTGCAGCAAATCGACGCCATTCTGAAAATGTTTCGCCATTACTTAGCTGCTCTTCCCTCCCCTCCTCTCCCATGGAGTTGAACTGCAGATAATTTGACTGCCATTTAAATTTAAGAAAAATAGCAAAAGAAGCTCGCTTTTTGTGCAGGGTAAAGTGAAGGCGGAAGCAGTTGCCGAGCATCATTCAAGTGAAGGCGCTGCGTTAATGAGCCTCGTCCCCGTCTTTCCCCCACTCGCTGTAATGGCAAATTAAAGCACACACATATATCTAGATTCTGGATATATCTGCTTATACACTCTCTAGCTAGAACGCTCTTCGCTGCGGCTCATCTCGGCCAAATAATTTGGCGGTGGGAAGAAAGCGGAATTTTATTGTTTGGCATAGAACATTTTAAATTTATGCTGTCATAAAAACCATAAGCTGCCTTAATTGCCAAAGTTGTAGCCGCTGTCTGTGTGTTGTTTTTGTACTTGTTCTCGTTCCCGCGGCCTCCCCTACCCTCTTTCCTCACCCTACCACAACCCACAACCCACCACCTCCCACTCTCGTGTTCAGCATGCATTTTGTTTTTGTTCCATTTCTCTTTGAGCTACACGCTCGCAGTGTTTAATTGTCATTTCTTTTCTAGCTGGGTGTGTGCCTTTTTTGTGTTTTTATTTCCATTGCCTTGTTTCACGCTACGTATGCGTATTATTTGCCGCTCAGAACAATAGATTTTTTGCCGTAAGCTGACCATGTAGAAGAAGTTTTAACATTCGGTTTTTCGTTGTATTAATTTACCCCATAACTATTTTAATCATTTTTTCAATGTACCACAAGAGAATTTGTTTGAACTTTTGGAATAGTTTTAGCTCAGCAGCCCTTATAATAAGATTGGAATTGATTCTTACACGAGTATATGTTTAATATAATGCGGGATTTGTTTATATATTTTTGCAAGCAATGTGCTGGTGCACAAACAAATTATTCCAACAAACCAACTTTCTGTGATATTTCCTATTTAAACTTTTTAAACAGCAAGTTAATCATTTGGCCAGAGGGCCGGGAATCCCTATTTTTTTCAACTTTATTATCAGTGCAACAAAAGTATCTTGATGATCATCCATCGGCGTCATCATTAGTTGGGCCTGTCTTGCAGCACCTGAATCCAGCAGCACGCAAGTCACTTAAAAAATAAAGCGCTTCTCATTAGCAGCAAAGGCAAAAAGAGAAATTAAGAGGGGTTAAACCTTAATTATGCTTCGCCTTTCCCTTTTTTTTTCATTATAATTTTTTCAGTCTCGTTTTTCTGTGCCATCTAGCAAAGTTTGTTTGTTTCGCCTTTTGGCTTCATTGCCCTTCGCCAACTTTGGCTAAGAGCATTTAAAGTTTTTCTTTTGCTGGGTAAAAAAATTCTGCGTAGAGGGCTTAGCAGCGAAAAAATGGAGGAAAAATAACTGAGCGTTTGTCAGCCAGAAAACAACTTTTGATTGCGTCGGCTTTATGAAGCGCTAAATTGATTTGCCTGCCCGTTATTAAGGCATAACTAAAATATTAACGAAGCCGGGCCAGCTGACGTCTCATCATTTATCACTAGGAAAGTTTTTTTTTATGATAATGTGATTTTCGTCGAAGGACGCAGCCCCAAAGGGCTCGCCCAACATTAGCTAACGAGGTCGCCCGAGATATTGACAATTTGTGGTGTGTGTTTTTGGATATAAATGGATATGAAATTTTGAATATAAAATTTAATTTGCTTATTAGTCATCAAATCCAGATATTGGTTGGTGACCTTAAACCAAAGCACTGGTAAATGTTTTGATTGGCTAAACAGAAATTTATGGCTAGTTAAATTTCCATTTAAATTCTACAGATAAATTCAGACCTAAGGTTGATGGACAATGAATTTTGCCAAATTAAATCATTACCCAAGAGTCCAATTAAGAATCTCTTAATATGCAAATTGGATTCATGAATAAAGTCATGAAAGTTAATTTGTCATTAAAATAATGCATCTCCGTTCCTTTGTTGTGGCCGCCTCCTCAGCCAAATGGAGGAAGAAAATACTGCAGTCTCATGTCGAAACGAAGGATACGACAGAACTGAGATGCTCAATTATGAGCTGGGTAAATAAGGGACAAGGAGTCTGTATAAAATACGAGCGGAGGACGAGCAATGACAGAGCAAAGCGAGCACAAAAAGAGGTCCTGCAGCACGTTTTAAGGGGTGTTTGGACAGGGGAATGAAGGTGCGGACGTGCATGAATTTTATGCAAAGTTGACGAAAATCGCGCATAGAAAGCGAAGCGCTTTGTAATTTTTTCGTAAGTCCGCCAAGAGGTAACGCTGCAAATTGGCAATCAAGCCAGCCCGAGGACAATGCCGCTGGCATGAAACAGTTTTATGCAAATTACGAAATTACGAAAGAATTACACGGAGCGCGAGCAGTTCTAATTGCTTTTTCACAGCTAATTATGGCTAGAAACGCTGAGGCAGCTTAAATATCACGTATACGCACCTTAATTTTCTAACACGCATCACAGAAATAATAACAAGCAGATTGCCGCAGATGGCCGCAATGATGATGAGCAGCATGACGAAGGCCTTGAACACCCAGAAGATGTTGTCCAGCCAGTCCTCGTCGGGATGAAGGCCACCCAGGCCCGGCTCCTTGTGTCCACTCTCGTTGAAGATCAGGCCCGCCGCCGTGCTGCTCAGCAGCGTGGCATTCAGTTCGTGCGAAGCGGGCGTGGCAGTGCCCGGCAATGGCAGTGCAGATCCGGCGGAGGATGCGGCGGGGTCGGCGGAGGAGGATGCACTGGTGGCCAGGGCGCTCGTTGTGTGCAGCATGGCCGCCGCGGTCAGGGCGGCCGCGGTAACCCGCGCCAGGGTCAGACTTTGGCGATGGCCATAGCTGGGGCTGGCTGGCTGTGCCTGTGCCTGTGTCTGTCTCTGTAACACTCCTGACTGCTCCTCCTCCTCGCTGCCGCAGCAGCATTTCGGTCTTTTGCGTATCCTGGCGGCACTGGTGCGATGCCTCTGCCGCGGTGGCTCTGGGCCAAGTTCGGGGCACAACAACATGAGTGGTGAGTGGTGGTCTGGTTTAATTTTTGTATACTCTTTCTTTGGCTTTGGTAGCTCGCTACTTAACACTGTTTCTGGTTGTTGTATTACTTTCGCACTTCTAAATTGGAACAACACCCACTAGAACCGCCATTGGAAATTCACGACACGCGTAGCGCCGGCGACGTTGAAACCAAAACTGAAACGGCCACCGCAACGGAAATTGATTCGCGAAAGTGGCCAGCACCGTGTGGCCACGACAACGTCGCCGCTGCCTCAGCCTCAGCCTCAGCCTCAGTTTCAGCCGCTGCCAACGTCAACGACCAGCGGCTGTCCTTGCCAGCCAACGCCGCCCACACGCTCTCGATGGCCTCGCTTTCCCGTTGATTTTCCGTAGCTTTTCCGCCGCCGCTGCTGCTGCTGCTGCTGCGCTGCTGCTGTGCTGCTGCTGTGCTGCTGCTTCTGCTGATGGAGGCTACTACTACCACCTTTTCGCTGGACGACAATTTCTGGCTATTTACTGTGTGCGGCTTCTATTTTTCTATTTTTTTGTAAATCTTTGGCTGCGGCTCGCTGATTGGGTTTTTCCCTAGCTCCAAGCGGCTGCTTTTTAATTCTGTTCATATTTTTTGCTGCCGCGGCTGCTGCGGTTGACGCCGTCTTGTGTAGCCGTCGAAAATTCGTTGATTTCTTTTGGTTTTATTTTTAACATTTCTTGGGCTTCAAATTATTTTTAGTTTGTTTCGGCCAAGTGGTCGGTTTTTTAGCTCAGCGCCCACTAATTCAGATATTGTTATTCGATGTTATGCCTCCTGGAACTGTGCCATAAATGGTGGATCGGAAAAAGAAAATAAAAAAAACGAATATTAAGAGCATGGAAAAACATGGGCTCGATTTTCTTTTTGTTGCCCCGATTATAATCACTTTTGTACATTATCTAGTTGTTGCCGCTGGCATTTGTATTGATTCGAGTCAATATTTGTTTATTTACTGACGCAGAAGTTGAGTTGTTGATGTTGTGCGTGCTGGCGGACTTTTATGCGAATTGGACAGGGTGTGTTTTTCTAAGATAAATCACAGATTATAATTTAATAGGATTACGGAAAACAAAGAGTCAGTGCCAAAGTGAGTAATTATACTTTAATATGATCGGGAAATATTAAATACCTTTATTAAAGGTATAATCATGAGTTAACTATATATTAATTTTATCGGAACTTATTTCAGACAATTAAAAAAAATATTTATTTATTGGTTTGACTTTTAGAACAATGGTAACAATAAATATTTCAAATTTTACCTTCTTAATGCAATAATTTGATATTCAACATTTTTCTTTCCTTAGCGTTTTAACCGAATATAGAAATTAACTAAGAGGTTTTTAAACTTCAGTGGTATCATTTTAAATAGGTATATTTTTAAGAGTTTTTAAAAGTAAGAAATTTTACAAATCATTTTTTCTCACAGTATTCACCGCCGAATTCAAATATCAAATGACTTCCTAAATGATGTCATCTTCACAAAAGTTAACTATCTTTAACTCGAATCTTAACTGCTCCAAGTTCAATAGCACACCCTGTATAAAAGCAATGATTTATATGACAACAGCTGGGCGAAAGAATGTCACTCGCTTCAAATGCCTTTTAGCATACAGCCGCCATATCTACATCTATATCTCGATGAGTATATTCCGCTGTGGTCGGTGTCTACGGCCCTGTGCCCCCCGACAAAGTGGTGGAAAAATGGGAAAATGGTAAAATGTCCTAAGCCATTTTTTGCCGCCCCTCGTCGGGATATAGCGCACTCATTTAGAATATAGAATATGGCTTTGGCTATATGCTAGTCTATATATTTATATTTATTCATTTCGATGTATATTTATATTTATTTTTTCCCGAATTTATTTCCTGATGATGATGTTTTATTTTCATGCTCGCACACGCTTTCAACGCTCGCATCTTGGCCGACTGTTTGATGTTGCTGGTGGCAGCTGTGGTTGTTGCCGAATGGCGTACAACAAATTGTCCACTCGAGTTGTGGTGGCCACGAGCTCTAAATTATACGTTGGTCACTCGCGTAGGGGTTTCCATTTTTTTTATTTATTGCACAATTTCTACGACAATTTTCCGAGTTGATTTTTGCGTTTTGGCTTTGTATTTTTCGGTTTGAGTTTCTCGTATTGCAGACGTTTAATTAGGGAAATGAAACTGTCCACACGCTGAAGTTGCCGCAGTGAGACAAGCCACATGGCGAAGGATTGTTGATTTTCCTGCCACGCCCTGGTGCTTTTCCAAGTTGAGCAACTGCAAAGAATCGGAGGGGGAGAAGGGGGAAAAGTGAATACGTTATACGTAAAATATTATTTAAGCATACATAAATATTGGCGAACAACACAAACAAACATTGGAAAACATTTTGCTCGGCATATTTATTTTATAAATAAAATACAACAATTTCTTTTTATGAATGCCCAGCTCATCAAAGTGCTGCCGCAGAGGCGTTCGTTGTTGTTTTGAATGTTGTTTTTTTTTAAATAATTTTTAAATTTATAATTTTGCACTGGGCGGCGGCAGCACTCTGGCTTGAAGGCGCGTGGGCGTATAATTAATTTTGTGGCAAAATGAATTTCCTTCAGTTTTATGTATAAATAGATTAAAAGTTGATTTAATTAATGGACTCTCCAAGTACCGAGCATCGGGAGTGAAGGGCGGAGATTCGAAAATCAGACACATATTCAAGTTTGTATTCCCCCAGCGAATTTGTCAGCAAACACGGAATCTCTATGGCCAACGCAGAAGGTTAACGGATGAGTGACAAGCGATGACAGTGTCCCGGGAACGGAAGCACTAGCTATGGAGCCCCCAAATGCGCCGGACGCAGCTGTCTTGTATCCGCGTATCTGCAGATGTATCTGTATCTCTGTATCTGTGCCCGCCCCTATATCTACATCTATGCCATGTTTCCAACGTGCAGTTAACGCCTGACACATACGCAATACACGGGAACATTAGCGGCAGCCAAATGCCAATGTTAATGTCATGAAAATCATTTTTTAAATTTAATTTGGCTCTACGTACTCTTTAAATATACATTGTACATATAGCTGCGCCTGTTCTAGACTACGCCGTGTTTGCTCTTGGCATTGGACGGCCTCGACTGTTTAGTTTCTGGGTTGTGCGGCCAAATTGTTGCCAAATTTCGCGGCAAAAAAGTGTGCAATGTAAGTGTATGTAGGGAAATATCAATATACCTTGTGCTCAAAGATACTCCTCCAGATTCGGGATTTTGGGCCCTGTTAATCAAGCTTAACACACTTTCCAAAACTTGCTCTGCCCATATGAGGAAGTAAAAGTTTCGCGCATGCTCTATCTTGTTTTAAGTTTTAATTAATTAACTTGCATTTATTTTTATTTAATAAACAAAACTTTTCGTTTAACAAGCAGTCACGAATTTCTCTTTTCTCCATCTCCCTCCTGGCGAGTGTGTCGCCTTTTATTTGCTCTTGGCAATTTGCCACTCCCCCAAAATTACACCTGCCCCGCCCGCCCCACTTTCCCCCACCTGCCCATCATCACCACACACCTGAGCTGCACCGAATGGTTTTCGTTTGTTTTCTTTTTCCTTTCTGTCTGAAGACTTCGTACTTTCTGCGGCCCCACAAATTAAAAATGAATTTTTAAATTCACCGACTTTAACGAGTTTTTAGGATGCCATCAGATTTCTTATTTGAAAATATGTATAAAGAATTATACAAAGATGCAAATTAAATATTAGATCTTCAAATGAAACGTAATATGCTTTCGGGGCTAAGGAATTTGCGAAACTTTAAATAAAGAGCTTTAAAAATTTATAAAATATCTAAGGATTATTTTTATAATCAAATTAAATTATTACTATTAAAAAAAATTTTTTTTCTTAAAATGGCTTTATTTAAAAATCACATTTATGGATTGTTACCACAATCTCTTGTATTATATTTGTCAAAAATGTTAATATATTTTGTTATTAAATACAATCCTAGTATCCAAAAATAAATAGTTCTCTTAACTCACATAAACAAACAAATCCAAATCAAAGAATGGGTCCCATATTCGAAAAGCAATGCAAAACATTTTTGGCAAACATATTATAAAACTAACTAATAATTTTATTTTCAGCACCAAAATGTTTAAAATCATTAAAACGATTATAAATCAAGAATATTATTTCTTTTAAAGTGAACATATTTTAACTGGCATTCAAAAGTTTTTAGTTTAAAGTACTTAATCGGTCAAGGCTTCTAATTCAAAACCCCAAATTCGAGTCACAATATGTCTGTAAAAATGCTTAAATTAATTCAGCGCACAATTCAAAAGTATTTTCGTTCATTGAAATCGTATAGAGGGAATTTATATTTGAAAATAAAATCCATTTTATTTAATTGCCTGCGTCACTTCACTGGACATACACACATATGGAGAAGCGCCAATGATGTTTCTGTTTTTTCATTGGCTCAACGAAAACAATTTTAATTTTATTAAAATTTTTTATACCGCCCGTGGGTCTGGCCCCTTTTATGTTAATTTTGTATCTGGCGAGTTCGTTTGTGTTGACAAGGTGCTTGACTGACAAAATACCCCATCAAAAGTCGCCATAGAAAAACAACAGAGCACCGGGGAAATCAACATTGAAGTGCCAGAGTGGATTGTCCGCAGTCTCTTTTAATGCATACAAATTGTGGGCCGATTAAAGACGACTTACCCTGATGGATTGATACATCATAATGAACATTATAATCAGCGCAACAGCATCTCCATCAATGCAGTGACACACTTGAACTGTTAATGGAATCCCAGTCCAATTTTGTCACGCAGCCTGCAAATAAATCACACGAATAAAGCCCCTAGTCCCCGGTTCTGTGTCCCATTTCTCGTTGTGTGCATTGGCTCTACTTTTACATATTTAATTTTCGCTTTCTCCGCTGCAAATCCGCCACACAGACGCTCACACACACACTCGCACGGAGGGAAAATCTTTTCAATTTCGAGTTCCATAGATAAATATGCCAGGCTGCCAACTGTAAGCGATTTAGGATGGGGCCCGAGTCGGAGATATAAGCACAACGAGGGACGCCCAAGGCGTTGCGATTTTATTGGCCGTAAAGTAGGCGGCCATGAAATAGGAGTAGTCGAGATCTGGGCCTGGATCCGGGTCCAGGCCCAAAGCGCTGGGCGCTGAGCGAAACACGAGCGGCCATTTAAAAGCCATTGTAGCTACATCCACAAAGTCCACACAATGAAAAACGAAACTTGGCTAAATAGACGGCAAAAAATGCGCGCCGATTGATGCCCCATTGTGGTGGCTTGAAAGGAGCGAACGGGATTGGGGGGACAAATGGATGTGGATGGGGATGTGGGCATGTGGACTGGGGCCCTGTGCGAATCTGAAGGATAAGCCACACAAAACAAATGTCAAAGTCAACACCCAAACCAAAGCAAACACAAATAGAATCCCTTCTTCGCCTCCCTTCTCCCAATTTTCCCCTTCGCACACACTTAAGCTGCAGCTTCGATACAATGAAAAGGGGCAAATGGGGGTGTGGTGCGTGGGAATATATAGATCGATTGCCTTGATATTTCATGACCAGGCAGGCCACTTCAACTCCAACGTGCTCTATTCTCCTAGCACGATGGAAATTGGGAAAGAGATTACACCAAGGAAAACATCGAAGGAAACATAATTGTGTGGAAGTCACCATGGAGAACAGCCCAATATTTCCAAGCAAATTTGACCATGGGTGTAGACAATACCAGGAAAAATATTATATTTCTTCGTTTTATATTTTCTACAATTTATTTAATTTCTCTCGAAAAAGAATAATGAAATTATACAGAAAGTTAAGAAATGACTAAAATTAATTTGCGTTTTTCTTTACTTAAAATGATTAGAATTTTATTATATTATGTATATTTTTTATGCTTTTATAACTCACGAAAAAAAAATTAAAAACGATTAAAATTGTTTGAACAATTTAAGAATAAATTTTCTCCGTGTAGAGCATTAAAGATTCTCTTTCCCCTTCGCTGTCTGGGTTTTATAGTCTCTTGAGATTATAGCGTCGAACGTCGAGTGGCGCAGCGATTAATGAAAATTGCTTAATAAGCATTATTGTCTCACTGGCATTAAATTGTTTAGAGAAACATTTGAGTGTCGCATTGTTCTCGAAAGAGTTGCCCGTCATTTCGCCCCTCTGACCGAAGACTACTAATTGATTAGAACAGGGAAACAGAAGCAGTTAAAGTCAAGAGGCGTCACAGCTTCTCCGGCTCCACGGATTCCCATCCTTGGCAGCTGGCAGCTGGCAGAGTCTTGACAATGCCAGGATGTATTTTTGCTCCAGGAAGGACTGCCGCTTGCCTCGCTTCCGTTTGTCATTTCCAGCTTGTGCTGCCTCTGACAGCAAACTGTCAGAAGTTCGGCGAGCGTTGCGCTGATTGACGAACGTTCGGGTGTGTAGTACTCTTTTGCCACCCCACCCAGCGACTTTCGCTATTCCCTGCTGGTCCTTCTAGGATGACGACTCAATGTGTCTGACTCCTTATCATTTCAATGCCAGGGGTCAGGGCTTAATGAGCGCTTGTCTAGCATTGACAGTCTGCCTAAGTGGCTTTGAGTCCTCGACTTATCCTTGGCGGCCCCTTCACTCGATACGCTTCGCGTTTGCTAGATGGATCCCGAAACTGATGCCTCACGCTTGTCAGTCAAATACATATTGTTGCAGGCAGCTGGCCTAAATCTGTCTATTGCCCCATCAGCTTGGTCTTCAGTCAGACTTTATTCGCCAAGTCCTTTAGTTTGTTTTTTACATCATTAGATTATGAGTACAAATTTATATCAAAGTTAAACAAAATTTAGTATCGATTTGTGAATGATTTTAAGGCTTTCTAACTATATAGAATTTTTCTTACTAAATTGATTTCGTTATCATTTTATCATTGCATAATAAGTATTAATTTATCTTAAGCTCCATTTTCATTTTCTAATCACTGTTGATGAACCCTAGGTGTCTAAAATAAAGTTTCAGGTTTACGAGAGCATAAAGTTTCGTTGCCAGTGACCCATAAATCTGGTCATTAATCTGACCAGGCCATTTGTCAGTCCATCAGGTGGACCAGCAAAGAAGGAAGACAAAGTCCTTAAGCGGGAGTGTTTACTTGCAGATATCAGCAAATTGATGATGTTCGCTTCCGCTGCAACCAAATGTCGAAAAAAAACCCAGCTATGTGCTGCAAATTAATAGACCCTTTTGGGGGGAGAATGCCAG